GGGGGGGTAGGGGAGAGGAAAGGGTAAAAAAAAATGAGAAAAAAGGAAAAAGCAGAAAGTTTTCTGTAAATAGGGAGGGGTGGAGGGATTGAAGGGGAATGGGGAAAAAAGAAGAACCAATATATATCATGTACAGGTACATATATATTTCCAATGATAAATGTGATCATAATGTATACCTAAAATGTAGCAATAAACTTAATTTTAAAAATGTGTTTAATACAATGGAGTACTACTCTGCCATAAAGGATAAGCTTGAGATATTTCTAGGTAAGTGGATGCAGCTTGAGGCCATATTCTATTTTTTTGGTACTAGGGATTGAACTCAGGACCTTGCACTTGTGAGGCAGGTGCTGGAACCACTGAGCTAACTCCCCTGACCAAAATATTGGGCAGATTCTTTTTTTTTTTTTTTGGTACCGGGGATTGAACTCGGGATCTTGCTCGAGGCAGGTGGTGGAACCACTGAGCTAAACCCCCTGAGGCCATACTCTTAAGTGAAATAAACTGGACACATATTTAAATACTGCATTGTCTCTCTGGTATGAGAAACCAAAAGTAGAAATAAGGACTAAAATGCATAATAGAGAATGGGAAATGGGAAGAAAATGTTCAAATGAGGAAGACCAAGGGGCAGCAGGGAAAGGAGAGACAAGAGAAAAAAGAATAAAAGAAAAAAATGGAAACAAAGCTTTCATAAATAAGGAGGGGAAGAGGGGTTGAACAGAGGGGAGGGGAATAGGAAAAAATATATATATCATCAACAGGTACAAATTCCCTGTGATGTTATTATGTGTATGTAAAATGTACCAATAAAATTAAAGCACACACACACACTCACACACACACACAAAGAACTCAAGAATATGTAACATGTTTGCTTAAAATTTCACTCCAAAAGCTTCCCAAGCCAGGGCATAGTATGAATACAGCTGTCAGGTGAGCACTCTGTTGGGGAAACCAGCAGCTGTGTTGCATAGGGACAGGCTTATGAAAAGGATGATGTAATTATTTGACGAAAATGTTGTCTTGCTTTCTGTGGTGAGGTTTTGACCATGAAAGACTAATGCCATGAAACATGTTAAAAGTCAGTGTCACTTGAACTACATCATTTCCCTTTCCATTTGGTTTTGAAACCCAATTTTCCCTTATTTACAGATGGTACATCTAAGACAATCAGCCTGATTGTCATTGGGTTAGGACTAAATATATCCCACAATCACAGGCAGTGCTGCCTCTGTAACTATCTTTGCCTCACTTTTCTGAGCTCAAAAAATACCATCAAGGGAAAGGTGCACAGAGTGAGAATCTTTATTTTCCTGATGCACAGCATGAACAGAGCAATGGCCCTCTCTGCTGACACTGGCTGAGTTGGCAGGAAGTGAGGAGGCAGTTTGTTTATGGCAGGTTAGGAATCCTGCCTTGATTCCTTTCCAGTGCCCAACTGATCCACGGCATCGCTGAGCTGTCTGCAGCCCAGAGAACAGCTTCATTATTGTTTTTAGGCTCCAAGTGAGAGGAAGTGCTTCTGATATTTCCTCTGAGTCCACATCTTCACACTTGTTTATTTCTAGTTTCAAATCAGCTGCACTGCTCCAGAAGCAACGAGAGGTGCAATGGTTCTGTACCGGATCAGGTGTTGTGAGCCCTCCTCCAAGTCAATCACGTAGTCCCTGAAAAAGGAGGGAAAAAATTTAGCTGCAGAGCACAGGTGCCTCTCTGCTGGGGGTATTTTCTTTTTCTTTTTTTTTCTGGGGGTTATTTTCTATGGGGAAACACAGATGTCACTCACTTCTGCTCATCTGCTTCAGGTTCCACCAGTATGTTTTCTTGTCGTTCTTTCACTCTCAGAAATACATATGAATCTAGGTCTGGCTTGGGAACTGCCAGAAAAAAAAAATAATGCAATCAGAAAACTTGCAGGAAAAGTTGCCAGGCTGAATGGTATCTAGCACCAACGAGCCTGTGACATAAAAGCAGCTAGGGAGGGTGACATGAGGAAAGATCCAGCTCCTCCAGAAACCACTTAGGCAACAACTGAGGAGTTCTTACAAAGTGCAGGGAATCCTGCCATACAATGGACCCCCGATCTGAGAGGGAAGCATCCCAAGACCCCCAGCGGATGACTGAAACTCTGGATGGTGTAAATTCCCAACTTATGAACATTTGAGTTTCAAACTTTCACAGATACAAATGGACCTCGCCTTACAAACATTCGTAGATGCAAACAAATTGCACAAGTAGCTCATGTGTCTGCCGGACACTGTCACAGTTGTGCTGTGTGCTCACTGTACAGTGTGATAGATACTAGCTGGAGAAGGAAGGGTAGGTGGATGATGGTGGAGCTGAAGGATCATTAGCAAGAGGAGAGGGAGGGCAAGACGGAATTTCGCTCACACTTGATGTTGATTATACAGGCTTTTTGAAAAAAACAAGGCAGTGATGTCTGAGCAGTGGCTCTTTTTTTCTCATCATAGATGACTCTACCTTCCCCTCCCTCCTCCAGTTAGTAATTCTCTTGTCAGTTCACTCCATGCAATCCTCCATATGCCAACTGTTTTACTGTACTGTACCACCATTTTTAGGTAACTGTAAAAATAAAAATAATTTAGTGTTTTTGTGTGAGTGTTTGGTTTTTTATGCTTTACATTGTATATTTGTGTCAAAGGTATATAAGGCTCACTTTGTCAGACTTATGAACAAAACCAACTTAATGAAAGTTCTCCTGGAACGGAACTCATTAGTAAGCTGGGGACTTACTGTGTGTGTGTGTGTGTGTGTGTGTGTGTGTGTGTGTGTGTGTGTATGCCACAGTAAGAGATTAACAGTTAATAGAGCAGTTGTAACGATGCTGTAAAAGTCATGTGAATGCGTCTCTTTGGAAAGGTCTTATGGAGCAGTGCTCACGCTCACCCTTGGGGCGACGTGAGATGACACAGTGCCTCCTGGGGGAGTGACACAGGCACTGGGACACAGCAACAGATACTAGTAAGGAGTACTTCAACACAAGCACTGTGACTTAGGAACAATCAATCTGATGAGAGAGATTTCCACAGGGTGTGGTGATGCACACCTGTAATCCCAGCACTCAGGAGGCTTAGGCAGGAGGATCACTGGGCCAGCCTGGACTACCTGGTGAGTTCAAGGCCAGCCTGAACTACTCGAGTAAGCTTACTTATCTCTTCCTTTCTACCATGTGAGGAACCATCGAAGGTATCAGACACCAAATTTACTGGTGCCTCAAACTTGGACCTCCCAGCCTTCAGAACTGTGAGCAGTTCAAATGGACTAAGTAACTGTGTGAGCCCTTGGGGCTTCAAGCGTGGCCCAGGTGAGGGCAGAGATGATTCTCCAAGCCAAGTAGGACCTGTAGCCTCTGCACTGAGCTGACTTGTGAACAAGGCAGGCCCCATCTCCTGGAAAACTGTCTGAGCTGGTCTGGCAATTGTGCCTGACAAGGTGTCACTCAGATGTAGCAGGCTATGCAAGACTGAGGAATGCAGACCTCCCTAAGCCACGTGCCCTGCAGCTTCATCCAAGGTCAGAGGTTCCTAACTTCCTTGCCTTAACTTCAGGGGCCAGTGAAAGGAGGGCTGAGGCAGCGGCTTAGATGAGCTATCCTTCCCCTAGTTGGTTTCTTTTCTCCATATTCAATCCTGCGCTATCTTTCCTAACTAGAGAAACTTCTCACAGGAGACGAGGAGTCCTTACTAGATGCAACAGGGACCTGTGAAGGTTTCCTAGGCCCCTGTGTCCTGGAATCTGCAAGGTGTACAACCAGCCCCTGCAAGCAGAGGGAATGGGCAGAGTCCCCAGCACTCAAGAGAGCCCAGCATTCACAGTTGCTCAGCAGACAGTGCTGAGGGGCTAGATGCTGCATACCCAATGTGTCTGCATCTGCAGTGGCAGCCTCAGGAGTCCATCCTCTCTGGGAGAACACAACAGCCACGCTGCAATGGCTACCTCTGCTGTCAATTCTTTCTTTTGTTCACCAGAGCCCTTCCTCTCCTCTCTTCGCTGCTAATTTGCATACTTAGTTTTCCATATTTGAGAAAAAAGAATGAAGATGAAGATCCGACTCTCAGGCACCCGACGATATTTGTGATCTCCTGAGCTTGGCCTAAAAAGAAGGTCTGCTTACCTGCCCTCAGGAGGTCCACCTTCTGTAAGTTTGGAGGCATGTGCTTTAAGGCGACATTCTTCAGATAGGTCTCTGTGTGAGCCATGTACCTGAAACACAGAAGTGCAAACTGCTGTGGCATACAGGGCTGGCAGATGGACAACTGCGGATGAGGCTCTGGAGCTGGCGTGGGGGCGTGGATATCACCGTGGAACTGCATGCCCACAGCCAAGGACCGAGGCCGTGTCAACATCTTGCTTACTCACTCCTTGGCGAAGGCAAACTCCTCTGAAGAGAGGCTTGAAGGCTCCCCCTCAGGGCGTGTTTTCTCTTTCTCAAGGACATGAGGGAAAAACTTCTCTATCTGTAAGAATAAATAAAAATCATGAAAACATTTATCAGCTGTCAGGATTCAAGTGTCAAACATACTCATCATTTCCCTATTTTGTTTTTTTTTTCAGACAGGGTTTCACTATATAGTGGGGCTGGCCTGAAATTCCATATGCGGCTGGTCTCCAACTTGCAACCCAACCATCTCAGCCTCCTGAGTGCTGGGAGTACAGGCATGTGCTGCCACACTTAGCTTTCAAACATGCTCACTTTCTGAAAGAGATCAAGCAAGGGGCTAGGGTTGTAGCTCCGAAGCACAGTGCAAGTGTAACATGTGCCAGACCCTAGGTTCAATCCCTAACACCCTGTGCCCTCTCCCCGAGTAGAAACTAAAACTTGACAAAATGGCATGTTTTCATGGCTAAGACCCTTTCTAATTATAAGACCTATGCTCTGGACTTCAAGAAGGTAGATTTCTGAGAATTCATAAAAGTTAAAAGGTGTACAAAGGAAGATGGTTCCAAATGGGAGGCTTTCATCAAAGAAATAAAAGATACTAAAGAAAAGGGTTATCATTGAACATTTTATGTAATCATACAGGATGTACTCTATGCGCTGAAATAGGCTGGAAAGATGGAAACAGAGTATACAAGTATACCCAGTAATTATTTAATTTAATTAATAATTAATTTAATTATTAATTAGTAGTAATTTAATTATAATAAAACCAGAAATGAGATGAAGCTTAGAAAAAATGTTTAAGCACTAAAAACAACCAACCAAAAGCCCCCGAACAAGAACATGAACCCCCCAAAACACCTTAGCCAGACAAAACAGAAGTTAAGGGCTACAAAAAGGAACCAGGAAGGGATCAGCTTGTTGTGCAGAGTCATTGAAGTTACTTCCCTTCTCTGGCTGTGGGGAAATGACAATGACACGGAGGAACAGCAGCACTCACCTGTTTTGGCTTGCAGCAATTATGTCCTGGGAGAAATTAACATTTATAAGGAGTTGTTTTTTTCCTGTCATATGTAAATTGCTACTATATCCTTAGTGTACAACTAAGGATAAGGAAAAATATATGTAGTTTCATGATCTTGGAAGAATTACTAAGATCAGAAGAGGGTTGAAAAGTTGGACATAGGTAAATCTCCTGGTTTTCCAAATTGGAAAGAAGGCAGTGCATCTTCTAATATAGACCAGTGGCCTTCATGTTGATAAGTGGTACATATTAGAACAGGTAGTTTTAAAAGATGGCTTGTGAAGCCAAATAAAAGGATACAGTAGTTAATATGAAGAGGATTTACCTGACCAGTGGGGGAGAGGGGGTAAAGAAAAGGTAAATGGCCTGGTAGTTGGGCTAAGGAGGAATTCTGTGTGCTTGCCTAAGTACATACACACACACACAAACACACACACCTGCATTTTGTTCTTTTACAGTTTTCTTGTATCTTTTAAAAAAAATCTCATAATGTCTTTGTGACATTGCTGTGGACGAACTAAACCTGGGGCTAGGCAATAGTAGCAATTAGAAAGTTCATAAATGGTTGAAGAAGAATACAGTGGCTAGGGATCAGTCTGCAGGAAAGCTGCTGATGAAATATTCTTATTGTTGGCTCAGCCCTATTTTTTTAGGCTACTGAGGATGGAACCCAGGGCCTTTCACACACTAAGTAAGTGCTTTTCCACTGAGTGACACCCTAGCTTTGGCTCAGTCCTATTAATGAATCAGATATGATTTTTATGACATACACATAAAAACTGCTGCTTATAAAAAAAAAAGACACAAAAATTGCTGATGAAATAAAGTGTTAAGAGATGGCTATTATGCGACAAGATCCAGGGTTCAGAGATCAGGAAAACGCCCCTTTTTAATAAGATAAAGTTTAAGAAGTGTAGGGCCGGGGATTTAGCTCAGTGGTGCTGCTGCCTGCTTTGAAAGCGCAAGCCCGAGTTCAATCCCCAGTACCAAAAAAAAAAAGAAGTGTAAATATCAAACTCTACACTTGGGGGTCAAAATCTAAGCCACACAAAGCCAGGATGGTGACTGGATAGGGCAATTATAACTTGTACACTGCAGGAGGGGCTAAAGGTGAGTGCAAAATGACCAATGAATGAGTAATGAATCCACCAAATATACTAATGTGACATGGAAAGGCATCACATCAGCTTTAACTTCCAAGCAATAAAAGTGATCATCTTGTTTCACCTAAGTGGCCAAACCATACCTGGGAGTCTGCACTGTGTTCCAGGTGGTGTAATCTAAGATGTGATAAACGAGAGCCTTTTTGGACAAGAGATCAGGAGAGTAAATGGATTCAAAGAGTTGGAATGTTTCAGTGAGAGAAGACTTGGATAAGAGGTGTGGGCTATGTATTTGATTTGTAATATCCACAGAGACAAAATGGAAACCAGAAACTTTAACAAAGTAAGAATTTTCCATGGTTAAAACAGATATCATACAAAATAAGAATGTATCACAATTACATTTTTATGAGTTAGAGGGCCACAGAGCTATAGTAGTACGTGAAGTTAACATGCTCCATTTTGACAGATGAGAAACAATTGTTAACACCTCTTCCTAGTCAATATTCCCTATTTAACCAATGTAAATGACTCCATCCTCAGCATCATTGTAAGAGAAAATCAGACCATAAATTGGAAGGTACCCCAGGGTAGTACAACCTATGCTTCAACTGGGCTTGTAGGAACAATCTCTTGGCTGCCTGATTCTGGCTATAACAACGCTGGGTAATTAGCAGCATTTTCAGGTCCTGAACCCTTCCAGGCCCTGCCCACCTTCTCCCTAGGACATCTGGTCTACATTAGAAGCATCACTGCCCTAATGCCCACAGGTATCTTTATGTCAAACCTTCATGAGTCGACACCGCAAGTAGCTGCTGAGGACATAGCGGATCCTCTCCATCTCCATTCGATGGATACTGACCTTCAGATCCTCTTTTTTAGCTCTTTTGAGATTTTCTTCCTATTAAAAGAGAAATTAAAGCTTATTTTAAAAAAGTGGTGGTAAAAGACCAGTGACCATCAGCACTGGCAAAGTTGAGGATCCAAAGACCATTTCAGTTGAAGGAAAATAAAAAAACTAATCATACAAGAGTATTCATTTTCTTTTAATTTTGTAATTATACAAATATGACTATGATCTCACAGGATAAAGTTCAAGCAATACTCATTTACTTTTAGAAAATGACCATTTGAATAGAATCTAAATGCGGTCAGTCAGCTTGAAGGGCCCAGAAGGGCTTCAATCCAATTGTACAGGAGATAGTGTAGCACAGAGAAGAAATGTCTAAGGGGCCTAAAAGGCAATATTAAAGAACCAGTTGAGAAACTAGAATACCAATACTTTAAGAGACTCTGAAGTTGATAATGACATAGGGCTAGATCAGCTAAGCTAAGGACCACAGATTTTAATGTCTGCAGGCCAGGTAGTGAAGGGGTATGATGTAGTGTGTGTGTGTGTTGAGGGAGAGTCAGGGATTCTGGGGAACAGAGAACACTACAAAGGGGTGGCCCTTGGCCTGCTCTGGTCAACTGTTCCCATGTGGAAATGTGGGTCAGTGATGCCAGGTCTTTAGACTTTTCACTGAGGGTGACATTGAGGTATTTACAGGAACTCTAATGCTCTGTAAATGTAGACAACATATAATATTTAAAAGTACTGGGTGAAGCTGAACAAAAACAGATTTGCTATCAGACAAACTCTCTCTATGCTGACCAAATGCTTCAACTTTCTCTTCTTTAGTGACCAAGCAACTCTTACCATATGATCCAGCTGTTCCATGACACATTCTACAATTTCAGGCTTGCTTTCTAACAGCTCAGGGGCAAACTTTTCATTCATCCAGGCCTAAAAAACACCACCAAGGAAAACAGGCATCACTTGATGGTGGATCACAACAATCCAGGAAGTCAGTTAAACCCATAAAAATCATAGATATTGTGGCAAAGAAAACTGATCACCAGCTGGAAATACTGAGAATGCTGTGAAGACAAACTATGCTTCTTTGATGGCTCTTCCACACCTTTTAGTGAGGAGGATGTGTTCACAATCATTTATTCAACTGTTATTTAAAAACAAAACATCGTTGTCAGTGTAATTTAGAGAGTAACGCCCCCTCGTGTTTGGAGAGTTACTTGTCACCCAGTAACATTAACATCCAGCTACTTCCTCACCAGCTGCTTCCCTCCAGGGGGCGCCCCTCACTGCTTCCATCCTGAAACTAACATAACACTGAATCTACGCATCTCTTCATTCCTAAAGCCCATTTACCCCTCATCTTTTCTACTCATCTTTATACCATTTGGGAAGAACTGGCTACAGGCATCCTTATCTTATAGATGGAGAAAAACCAGGTTAATTTTCTAAAGGCTTCCAATTATACAGGATCACAATAGAAACAGATTTATCTTTTTAAGGTGTGGGACCTTGAGGTTAGATGTGTAATTTATGACTCTGGCCCACCAGTTCCATATCTCTTGCACATTACCAAGATTTAGAAAACTGAAATACTCATAAGTGACTAAAGAGAGATATACTTATCTTTCAATTACAGGAAACTGAGTTTTAGCGTAGCTGGGAATTTATATCAGGCTCATCTTATTTTTTTCTGATGTCCTTGAATCTCTGCTTCCCTAATTATTGTCATCATGACACATCTTTAAATAATGAGTATTCCTATAATCACAAAGTTGATTTTCAAATGCTTGAGCTTCTGTAATAGTATTGCTATTTCTTGGTGCTAGGGACTGAACCTAGAGTCTTGCGTGGGAAAGCAAGTCTTCTACTACTGAGCTGCACACCACCTTGAAGCTATACAGGCAGCCTTTATAATGAGAATACAGTAGATCAAATTTTCTGGAAGCCACTGATACAAATATTTGTGTGTATACAACTTCATTAAAGAATATTGTTATTATTTAAAAGTCCCTGTGTGTCCCTCCTTTCTCAGCAGTCTGAGTTTAGGGTTTAGTTTTCTTATAGTTTTATGCATTTGTTTGTATCTCTACACAATGGTTCCCAACCTTTTCATGACAGGACATTCGAAGATAATGAAAATGCTTCTGTGTCACAGTGGGACAAAATGATGTAGATTTCAGGAGACCTTTCATTTATACTATGAAATGATGGTCATACAACATTAGGAAAAGTTTTCTATTTGTATAAAATTTCAAAATTTGTAGTAAGTGGGCCGGGGATTTAGCTCAGTGGTTCCGCTGCCTGCCTCGCAAGCACAAGGTCCCAAGTTCAATCCCCAGTACCAAAAAAAAAAATTTGTAGTAAGAAACTTGTATTTAAATTTATGATCATTAAAAAAAAAAATCAGATTTTGGGCTGGGGATTTAGCTGAGTGGCACCACACCTGCCTTGCAAGCACAAGGTCCTGAGTTCGATCCCCAGTACCACACACACACACACACACACACACAAAATCAGATTCTATGCTTGAAGTGGCTACATTTGGTTCCTAATAATTTGGTGGTGGTGGTAGGGGATTGAACCCAGGGTCTCATACATGCCAGGCAAACACTCTACCACTGAGCTACATTCCCAGCCATGACCAGAATTTTTAATGACAGCCTATCATTGTTATGAACTGAACTGTGTCTCCCTCCAAAACTCCCTATGTTGGCTGGGTGTGTATACTTCAGTGATGGAGTGGTTGCCTAGCATGCAGGAAGTCCTGGGTTCTATTCCAAAACTGCAAAAACAAAACAAAATAAAACAGTAAGAAAACTCTGTATATAAAAGTTTGGACTCCTAGTACCTTAGAATGTGACGATATTTGGAAGATAGAGTGTCTTAGTTACTTTTCTCTCGTTGCTGAGATGAAATACCTGATACCCAAAGTAAAAGGTGGAAAGGTTTATTTAGCTCACAGTTTGTAGAGTTACAAACAGTTTCAGTTACAGAGATTTCGGCTGGCTCCAAGGTAGGTTGGCACGTGGCAGAGTTCATGGTGGCAGAAGACAGAAAAACCAAACAACCAAGGGACCTTAACAGTGTTTTTCTGCCCCTTTTATCCCATCCAGACTACCAGGATTAGGGCAGTGTCCAACCAATCCCTCACATGTAGGGGTTTAGTAATCACATGCCCTTAATCCTAGCACCACACAATCTAGATTCACCCACCTCTGAAAAAGAAAGTCTCACCTCATCTGCATGAGGCTTTGGGGGGACATCAAAACAGAAGCCATAACATACAGTCTTTTCAGAGGTATCTGAGTTAAAATGAGGAAATTAGCATGGGTCATAATACAATGACTTGTGTCCTTGGAAGAGGAAAAAAGAGGAAATTTTGTCACAGGCACACACAAGAGGGAAAACCATGTGAAGACACAGGGAGAAGACAGCCACCTGTAAGTCTAGGAAACAGATCTCAGAAGAAACCAAGGCTGGTGCCTTGACCTTAATCTCTAGAGTTGAGCAAATAAACTTCTATTGGTTAAACCATCCAACCTGTGGTACTTTGCTACATGGCCATAGCAAACTAACAAAATCATTAAGAGAGACTTTGCACTGCATGTAACACCTTTTAAACATCTCCCACAGGCTTTCAACAGTGTGCTGTCCACATGCTGCCTGTCAGGCTGCTCCTCACACTGTGCCAGACGGCACAGGAGCCTGTGTCTGGCCGTGGGAGCTATGCAGTGGCAGATCACCTCTGCAGCTACTCTCAGACCATTGAAAGAGCATGGGGCAGAAGACACATTTGGATCTCATGGTCATGTACTGCCGATTTGTGTTGTACTGTCAGACCCCTCCATCCTCAGGCCACCTGAAAACCAAGAAGAGCAAGCAGCCTGGGGTTCTGGCTGTCCCACAGGGCAGAGGGTCAACACTGTGAGGCATGGGCCAGGTGTGGTGGCGCGTGAGTAATCCCAGTACATGCCTGAGGCCAACCTGGACTACATACTGAGTTCAAAGCCAAACTAAACTGCACAGCAAGACCCTGTTTCAAAATTGAGGCACTGGTAGCACAGCAGTATATCCTGTCACCCAAGGATGAAAGCTCTGAATAACAGTCTTGCAAGCATGTGAACATTATAGGAATGGTTTCTTCTGCAACTTGTATTTTATACTCCCTACTTTTCTTTTCTGCTATGCTGAGAAATGAACCCATGAGAGAGTTCTGGAAAGGAGAAGTTACAGGAAGAGAGCAAGAGTAAGCAGCAGTTGTAGTGAATTAAGAGCACACATGGACAGGGGTGTGGCTCAGTGGTAGAATATGTGCTCAGCATGTGCAAAGCCCTGGATTCAAACCCCAGCACGTTTTAGGATCAAAAGGACCTGAGTTCATCCTGTCTCTGCTCCCACTGTGTAACCCTGAGCAAAGCACTTTACATCTCTAAGCTTTACTTTTCACATCTGTAAAACAGAGGTAACAGTACCTGCCCCACAGGATAAGGAATATTAGTACTAATAGCTACCTTCAGTGAGTGCTTATCATGTGTCAGACAACTTGTAAGCACTTTACACATATTTATCCCAGTTATTCCTCACAGCAGCTCTGTGAAATTGTCATTATTATTATCTCTTTGTTGACAAGCTATGTAAATTGCTTAAAGTCAAAAAACAGACAAATGGCTTGGAGTAGATTTAAATCTATATATTCTAAACTCAACTACCAAAGCTTCAGGAGATCACAGTAAAGAACAGTAACACAGTTACTGGCATACAGAAAATACTCAATAATTCACTGCCATTATGACTAAAAGGAGAAATATCTCAGAAATTACTGTGTGGCACAAAAACAGACATGATGATCAATGAAATAACTGAAAGCAGAAACAACCCGTCTTCAACAAAGGGGCCAAAAACATACACTGGAGAAGATAACCTCTTTAACAAATGGTGCTGAGAAACTGGTCATTCATCCAGAACATATGCAGAAGAATGGATCTGGACCTATATCTCTCATTCTGTACTAAAATAAAGTCAAAATGGATCAACTATCTAGATATTAAAGTAGAAATACTTTAAGGGCTGTGGGGGTAGCTCAGAGTTGTCACGCCTGCCTGGCAAGAGCAAGGTCCTGAATTCAATCCCTGGTACAAAATAAATAAATAAATAAATAAATAAAAGAAAGAAAGAAGGAAAGAAAGAAAGAAAGGGAAAAAAACACTTTAACTTCTGGAAAGTAGGTAAAACTCTTGACACAGGCATAGGTAAGAATTTTTTTTTTTTTTTTTTGAGACACAGTCTCACTCTGGAATTCAGGCTGGCCTTGAACTTGTGGCAATCCTCTTATGTCAGTCTCTGAAATGAATGCTGGGATCATGGGCATGTGCTACCACACCTGGCAAAGACTTTCTGACCAGAACCTCAATGGAACAAGAAGTAACACGAAGAATCAACAAATGGGATTATATCAAATTAAAAAGTTTCTGCACAGCAAAGGAAACACCAACAGAGTGATGAGAAACCTATAGAATGGGAAAAATTTTTGCCAGAGAGAATTAGTATCTATAATAGTTCTTTATATCTATAAAAATATCTATAAAAATTATACCCCTCCAAATAAAAGACCCAATCAAAAAATGGGCAATTGAAATGAACAGACACTTTTCAAAAGAGGAAATACAAATGACCAATAAGTACATGAAAAAATGTTCAGCATCTTTGGCCATTAGAAAAATGCGAGTCAAAATACTGAGATTTCCATCTTACTCCAGAAAGAATGGCTATCATCAAAAACTTAAAAACAAAAAATGCTGGTGAGATTATGGGGGAAAAGGAACCTTTCTACATTGCTGGTGGGAATATAAACTAATACAACCAGTAGGGAAATCAGTATGGAGATTTCTCAAAAAATGAATAAACAGAAATTCCATTGACCCAGATATATCTCTTCTAGGTATCTTTCCCAAAGAGTTAAAGTCATCATATTACAGTGATAAACGCATACCCATGCTTATAGCAGCATGATTCACAATAGCTAAATCTTAGAAGCAGCCTATGTGTCCACCAATGGACATGGATAAAGACAATGTCTTTATCTATGTCTATGGACATAGATATACACAATGGAGTATCACTTGATCTTAAAGGATAAATTTGAGCCATTTATAGGAAAATGGATGCATCTTGACACAATGATAAGTGAAATAAATCAAACAGAAGGTTAAATATCACATGGTTTCTCTTATATAAGAAACCCAAAATATAATTTAAAGAGCAAAATAAAAGATAACAGGGAACAGACAGACAGACTATGTGGAGATGGGAAGGGGATATGGAAATGGGGGGGACAGGAGGAAGAGGAAGGGGAAATAAAAAGGGTCAATGTGCGATATGGCTATATAGCAATTCCCTATGATGAATGTATTTATTATGTACCACAAACATATACTAACAAAAAAGGCAGAAAAAGTGTTTGTTTTGATAAACAGTGGAAATATACAGAAAATCAAAAAGGAAGAATATGACCGATTTTTCCTTAAAGAAAGTATTTCAGCATTTTCTTGCTAACTCAGGCATTCCCCAAGGGGAAATAGCAGTTAATTCAAGGGACTAAGGCACAGAACTCACAATCTCCATTATACCTTTATAGTCCCTGAAATTACGAGGTAGAGCCTTGCTCCATGAAACATTCTACTTAAAAGTGTCCAAAGCTGTCACTTCCTGATTCAACATCTGCCGGTGTGGGTGAGGTTTCTAAAAGAATGTCTTCCCCACTTCCTGCTTTTATGTAGACATTAAGATGCAATCTCTCTTCTCTCGAAATAAGCCTTGAATTCCATTTCCCTAATTTTTTGAGCTGCAACACTTGCACAGATGCAGTAAATGACAAGCAAGGAGCAGATCAGATTCTATGTGGTCCGCTCACCTGCTCCAGCCTCTCAATGAGCTCTGCGGGTGTCAGGACCACCTCCTCACTCCCAGCATCGGAGTCCGGTCCAGCGAGGTCCAGCTCCTCCGTCATCGTAACTGAAACCAGGAATCAAATGAAAACAAAAGAACCAATACCCTGCTGGGTGTCTGCTATTAATCTGCAAGAACAGGCTGCTAGGTATTTGGTAAAGTTTACTGGGCCGTAGGGGCCAGGGCAGAGGCCAGGGAACTCACAGGCTGACTACTCTTGTGTTCTACCTCTTGCTTCAGGCTGAGGTCAGATTTCAATTTCTCAGAAGCCTCCCTCTGGCGGTGTGCACAGCGTCCATCCTAACTGGGCGCCCACCGCACGGGACAATGCTTACTCTCTGGTCTTCGTTCACCTCAGCGGCTAATTCCTCTCCGTTACAGTGTGGACCACGCCTGTGTTCAGGGCCCGGCACTGCTGGGTTGCGGGGTCACAATGCCCTGTTCCGCCAGGCCTCCCTCACGCAGGAACTTGGGATGCGGGAGAACTAAGCAGGGGCCGGCCTCCTGGAGCCACGAGGCGTGACGGTGGCGAGGGAGGTCCAGGCCGCGCGCGACCCTGTCACCCGCCCCACACCCGCTCCCGAGAGGCGGGGAGCGCGCCGAAGGACAGACGGACCGACAGCAGCGCTCCCGGAACGAACCTCGCGAGGACCTCCTGGGACCCACCAGACCGTCCCGCGCTCCACTCGGAAACTTTCCGCCAGGCACAACGTCACCGCGCACGGTCGGCGCTCACCAATCACGCTCCGGGGAAAAGAGACCGGCGCCTACTTGGCCACGCCTACCAGAAGGCTGGGGCTTGGGGTGCAGTTCTGGCTGACCCGACCAAGTTGACCCGGCCGAGTCCACTTTTACACCCTGGTGAGCTGCGGGGCCGGCGGAGAAATGGGCTGTTTACTCAGGCCATGTCTCTCTCCTGCACCTGCACCTCTTGTGGCCCTTTCGGTTACTTCGTCTTTGCCAGGGCTTCAGCTGCGGGCCCTAGTAGTTCTAAAACCTCCATACTAGTGGTTCCCGTAGCGCAGGACCAGACCACAGCGTCTCCAGCACCTGGGGAAGATGGGGTTCTTGAGAGCTCTGTGGGAGCCCCAGACCCTCCGGGTGATGCTGATCCTGGAGACTAGAGAAGCACTGTTCTCCTCGAGGCAGCGTCTCTCAGCGCTGGCTCTCCAGGTCATTCTGACATGTAGGGAAAAGGCAAATCTACCACTCTGTCTATTCTTTCCACTTGGTGAGATCAGCGTTTCTTCTCTGAGTTGCTGCTGAGTTTCGCTTCTGCTGTCTTTTGTTTTCTGTGCAAATATCACTTCTGTCTTACCTAGATTAGATGTCTCTTCCCTGCCAATCCAAAGACTGGGAACTTTTCCTGTGCCCAATTGATTGACAAGAATAAAACAAGTTGGCTGATTGACAGGCTGATAGTGCCTGCCTGATTGTAATCATGTATAAAAATTAAAACAGAAACGTCGAGTGAGAGAGTGAGCACATTTACACAGAGCTGTGAAAGTGGGGTAAGTCAAAGAGGAATTTCCAAAGGGAAGGGGCATTTGAGCTGTCTTTCAGATTGTGTTTTGTGAATGGCAAATGGCCTTTTCAGGTGCCTTTCAACCTCGTGCTCCAATGATTTTGTTACCCAAAAGTTTTCAGTTGTGACAGATTGTATTTTTCAAAGATAGCGCTCTGATATAGATCTTGTTCTACATGCCCTTCTTACAATACAATGGCATCAACACTCTTTCATCAGGTGGTATCTGCTTGCCTTTTTTTCCTCAGTGCTAGGCAAGTGATCTACTCCTAAGCTACACCTCCAGCCCTGTCCTTGCCTTTTAAATCTGGAAATACCTTTGCAGCTGCTCAGACCAGGAGAATTTGGCAGCAACAATGCTGCATGGCTTCTGGGACTAAGTCCTGACAAGCTGTGGCTTCCACCTGGCTCTTTTCCAAGAGCTGCATCCCTTGGGAGCCTAAGCTAATGTAGGAAGACTGGTTTCCTTGCAGCTGCCTTGCTGGGGAGCTCATGTAGAATGGTTACCCAGAGAGAGCCATAGCCTGGGAGCCTGAAGCCTCATCCTTCAGATGTCTGGATTGAGTGAGGCTTCAGATGATTCTGCCTTTCAAACTAAACCATTCCACTTAACCATGAGGGGAGCAGAGATTAGCTGTTGGAGCCCAACTGCCTGCTTGTGAGCAAAGCAAAGGTTGTTTTACTGACCTAAGTCTTGGAGTGGTTTATTGTGCAGTGTTAGATGACTGAACCCTGGTGTTGGAGCACAGCTCCATTCTTCCCTAATTTTTATTACCACAAACATTTCCAATGACTTTATTAACATTCCTTAAGTGTTACAGATTAGAGTTCAAGCACAGATAACATTTTCACACAAAACTATCCCTTCTCTGGGACCTACTGCCTGCTACCTAGTCCCTCCCACTCTGCTAAGGAGCAGGAATCATTATTTATTACAGGTATGACCTTAAACAAGTCACTTCTCTGGGCATTGTTTATTAAGTAAGAATAAAATGTGTTTACCTGAAGATAGAAGGATAGATTGAGAAATTTGGGAGACTCCTTTTATTGTAGACAGCTAAATTAGTTGGATATATTATAGGCAGACAGGGCCAGGCCCTCAAAGGAGCCAATACAGAAAACAACTGAAGCACGTTTACTAAAGGGCAGGATTCAAAAAAGAGGAGCTACTACATGCACATACTTGTCCTAGGGATGAATAGCAGTGACTGATATTCTAAATAGGTATCAGTCACCTTGGGTGCAGACCAAACTCTTCCTAGCCCATTCCTTCCTGGAAAAACCTTGTTCATTCCACATACATTTGATTCATGACTTGCTTTCCCATTTGATCCCCATTTGATTAATATTACTTAAGCAACTATACTTGTTGTAATCTTATTGGTTCACCCTAGTTGTGTCCCAACTCATTAGTTGACTATAGTTGTGTTCTACCTTGAACTTGCCTCACCTCGTGGCTTTGCTTAAAACACCCTTGAGAAGCAGGGTCAACAGACAACCCATTTTCTGGGTGTTCCCTCCTGTCTCAGGCAGGAGCTGTCTTTCCCTCAAATATTCCTACTCTTAACCTCCATTGTTCCTAGAATTCATTCTTCATTTCTTGAGAACATGAGGTTGGCATTTCAGATATCTAACAAGTGGGAGTTATATTTCCCTTATTTAGATTATTTAAAGGTTCACATATCATATACCCTATATCACTTTCATGTCTAAGATCTTTGATTTCAGCTGACATTCTTCAGACAAAAATAATTTAGAAGATACATTTGCAGAAGAATGTTTCCAGTATGTGAAGGAATATTACACAGGATGTGCTGGCCCACATCCATAATCACAGCATTACAGGAGGCTTAGGTAGGATCAAAATCTCAAGTCTCACCTGGGCAATTTAGTGAGATTCTGTCTCAATGTAAAAAAGGGGGTAGGGATTTAGCTCAGTGTTCAATCCCCAGTACTGAAATTGTCGGGAGCAATTCTACATAACTTTGGGGAAAACTTTCACAATTAAATTATGATTAGGCCTAGTTTTCCTGCCTACAGGCCAGCTATGGCATGTTATGACATAACTTCATTTTCACCTCTGGTCACTGCTAAAACCTCAATGGTCCGGTGATGCTGTGATGCTCCAGGGCAGGATCACACCAGCTGAAGACATCCTGGGGAGGAACAAAATCTTCATCTGCATAGTTCCTCATTGTTCTAGGATTATCACAGCTTCTGCCCTATGAGTCATCTGTTACATTGTTACTCCCGATATACCAAATAAAGGTGTAGCAAGCTTGAGGTCTTTAGTCTTTGCTGTCCAGAGCAGCATTGATCAGGTCCAAAGCCCAGCTTCTTCTCTAAGTCTCATTTCTGTCTATATATTAATTAATTCACCTTGTGCTGTCATGGCTCACAGAAGACTAGGACTTACTGCAGAGGTTCTAGTAATGTCCCTTTTCCTTGTTCCCTACAAGAAACAGAAGGAGAAGATGAAGGTGGGGGGGAGAAGAAGAGGAAGAGGGAAGAGGAGGATAAGGAGGAGGAGGAAAAGAAGAAGAGGAGGAAGAAGAAAAGAGTATTAAAGACACATTAAAAAAGCGGAAGAAGACAAACATGGTGAAACTGTCATGTGCTCTAAAGCTTAGGAAGGTGAGAGAACATGCCTTATGTTACAGAATATAGACTGAGGAAAATCAGGAATATCTGGTTGATGTAGACTCTATCAAGTTATCTAGACAATATCATAAAATGGAATGCTGTTCATTAAAATGATCATGTAAAAAGAATTACAAGAGTTATGATAACAGGAGGAGGAGGTCAGATGATGATAAATGTATCTGCAGGGCAGAATTTGTAGTCAAGCTTTGAGGATTGAAAGACTAAAATGAACATGCTAATAAAAATTTAGAGATATGAAGGTAAAAGCAGAGCAAGAGAAAAGTTATTGGTTAAATGTGAAGAGGACACAAAAAATATAATCTAATACAAAAGAAAGTGTTGTTAATGCCATTTCAAGATATTTCTTAATGAAGACATTAAGAGTATTAACTTAAAAGAAAAGATGCACACAGGGTTTGAAGTATTAGTTTCGAGGTAAGGCTTTTAGGGGCAAGCACCTATGCTTGCATGGGATGGGGGAACCTGCTCTCTTTTTAAGTGACTGCTAAGATCTCTTAAAGATTTTATTTCATAGAATAAGTCCCTTTAGAGAAAGACACAAGGAACTAGCTGAAAATAGCCAGGTTATGCTGAGTCATTCTTCTAGGTGACCCAGAGTAACCTATGTTCATTATAATGTTATCAATATACAGGTTTCCTTAATAAAATCCTCTCTTCTGTATTTAAGACACAGCTTTGGGAGTTCTCCCAGGGGTCTTCTTACATGTACAATTACCCTTTCTTCACTCCTTTATCTTTAGGCTGGGATGATTGGCTTTGCACTCACCAATGTGTGAACCTTTGTGTTTGGTGACAGAATTGCAATTTGGTACACTCAATCAGGGCAGTCCTGAATAATGTCCTGTAAGGCAAGGGTAAGACAGGTTTTTTGTTTGTTTTTTTTTTGGTATCAGGGATCAAACTCCAGTCTTTGCGCTTGCACAGCAGGAGGTGAAACCACTGAGCTAAATCCCCGGCCCTGTGGCAGGTTCTTAATGAAGAGTCCCACAAAAATTTGTTTTTGGAGGCAGTTCATTGGCTGGGCAGAAATTTCAAATTGAAAACTCATTCTGATTGGTCAGTGAATCAGGATACTGACTTCAGTTTATCCAAGTCTATTGGGACATTGTGTAGTTTAACCTTTAGCAGGGGGAAGGTACAACATGGTCACAATCTCCTGGTTCCACTTTAGAAGTCTTAAACTTAATTCATTTTCCTTCACAATATCTGTTGCAGATACAACAAATAGGAACAGCTAAAATATTTGTTGATAGCTGCATCAGTCAGTCAGTGCTTACTGGAGAAAACATTTAATACAAGATATGCAAATATATAAGAATTTACAGATGGGCTTACAATGGCTGCCCACAGAATTGGACATGGAAGAGTGAAGAGGTTCTGTCTGCACACTGGAGATCTGAAGGATCCAGCCCAAGGCCTGG